CAGTTGAAAGTCAGTTTGTCACTTGCTTATTAGCAATGGAGGGTTTGAAGACTCTGTAATCTTTAATTACAGATTTTTAATTCCCAGACATATGCTCTCTCAATTCCCACTCATCACTTGTGATTTATTTTTGTTATATTCCAAAAGCAAGTGGGAAAATAATATTTATATGCCAAAACAGCGAAGGATTCTATAATATAATAGCTGTTTGTTTCTTTGGAGTACCAGTGGATCAGAAACTCTTTAGAGAAAATCTGGGAAGGGACCTGGTTGAAATGATATAGAAAGAAACCAAAGTGGATAATTATGGTTTAATCATCTTTATTGAAGAAACTTGAAGAATAATGTCAGTCTCATTTTAGAAATAGTAACAAGATATGTTGCCATACATTATAAAAGTTATTTACGGTAGAGGGAGCTAATGATAGACCAGAAGCTTAATTAAAATGGAATACTGTTATAGATTCAATCATCCTTCCCCACCCCCATTTATAAATTAAAGTCTTTACCTCTGGTATGTCAAAATGTGTTCTTATTTGGAAATATGGTGGTCGAAGACCAAAGTCAACAACATGAAGTTATACTAGAGTAGACCTCTAATCCGATATGTTTGGTGTCCATATGGGAAGAGGAAAAGGATACAGGCACCTATAGGGCAGCACCGTGTGAACATGAAGGTGATCACCTGTGCACCTGTGAGAGAGGTCTGCTGCACAGCCTTTCCTCAGGGCTCCTTCAAGGAACCAACCTTGGTAGCATCTTGATTTAGACTTAAGCAAAATTAAACAGACTTAAGAATTGTAAGTTTCTTTGTTTGAAGCCACCTAGTTTGGGGCCCTTGCAAACTTCTGTCAGCCCCAATAGTTGGTTTATTTATATCTAGAAAAATTTTAATATTTGAAATTTTGCAATGCTTTCATTTCAGAGTTTGGAAACCATTTCTCTCTATGGAAATTTAGAATATGTGGTCATTAAGTTTCTTAGGTTTCTGATAACTCAGAGTTTAGCCAATTTGTAGCAATCTGTTTTTAAAAGGCAGGAGTTGATATGGGCTAGACTTACAACTGTAATTTCTGTAATGTTTTCCTCCCATTTATGGTAATAGAGGGGAAGATTATTTCCAGTGACCTGAGATTCCAAGTTGTTTCTTGAATGTACCAATTCAAACTTGTTCTAAGATTCAAAGTTGGTCTGTTTCTTGTGTGGACTAATAGCATTCTGGAGATGTTAAAAGAAGAGTGACTTTGAGTGCATACCTCTGTATTAGTGGACTAGAAAAGAGTGGCCATGTTTTTCATGAGAGGAACAAATACTTCAGAAGGAGAAGATGATATGGTTAAACTGGGTGTGAGCCTGGGAAGTCCCTGGGGACCAGGAGGAACTGGCTTTGCCCATGAGTAAGTTTATAATAGCTCAGCTTAGAGAAGCTCTGAAAAAGAATATTAAAAGCCATACCTCAAATACAACTCCTTTTCTATTGTTTTTTTACACAGAGCCAAGTAACTATCCCCAAAAGAAATCCACACCATATTTAATACTGACTCGAGTTGTGTACAGGTAAAGAACATAAGCCTTGGAGTCAGTTCAAATTAAGTCTCTGCCACTTATCAGCTGTGTGACTTGGTATAAACTTTCCCCCTTGAGCCTCCATTTTCCCATCATTAAATTAGATAATCCAATATTATCTCCCCCATAGGATTTTGTGATGATTAAATAAGGTGGTAATATATGTAAAAAGTGAGTAGAACGCCTGGTGCATATAAAGTTCTCATATGCTAGCAACAGCAGTAGCTATGTGACCCTTGTGTGTGCTAGTCCCTCTGTTCGTTTAGTCCATAAGTATGAATAGCTTATCTTATGATGTTATAAAGTCAATCAGTTTTAGGATCCATATATTTAAAATAACATCTTAAGAAAACACAACTTGGGAGTACCCGTCCAGAATCAGCTGATGTACTTTTAAAGATTAGGTCATGACAACCAGACTAGAGAGACTCTAGGTCTCCTAGTTCACAGTCTTCCTTTTTTAATGTACATTGATTAGATTTTGGCTGGTTTATATACTATATTGCTCCCTTGTATATGTGTGTGTTTTATAGTATAATTTTTGAGTTGCCTACTTTCTGTTTTAAAACTTTGGAGAGCCAGTTTTATCTTGTTTTTACTCAAAACAGGAAGAAACATTTTGAAATAAAATGATCCAAGTGTGTTTTGGGGTTATTACTCACATATTTAGAGCATAGCATTATTAAAAACACAGATAATATCTGTCTAGCACTTATGATATCATACATTTAATTTAGGTAATTAAATTCTTATGGTAGAACTAATACTTTAAACTCAGTATATAGTGTTACAATTTTAAAAGATTGAAACTCCTTAGTTATAATGAAACCTTAAGTATTTTCTGTATAGCCATAGAAAATGGGCAGAAGGAGCCAGGCAAATCTGGAAGGAAAGCAGAAAAGATTACCCTGTTACAGTCACACTTTAACAAAATGTTTCTTCTTTCTACATAGTCTTGGGTTATCTTGCAATCAACCACTTATTAATCAAAAAAGGACACATATTAACTTTATAGTGGAGAAAGTTGTTAGACACTACCTTTAAGTGAACAAAGTCACTATCTCTAGTAACTGAACAATTGGTATTTTTGGGAACTCCTGATAATGTATTTTAAAGGATATGCTACTACTACTTTGATATTCTTGCCAAAAATGCAAATAACTATGATCATGAAAAAATATGCAAACCCAAACTAGGGATTGCTTTACAAAACAAATGACCTGTACTTTTCAAAAATGTCTAGATGATGAAAGAACAAATTAAAGGAGAGGAAATTGTTGGAGATTAAAGAAGTTGTTATGTAGAAATATGATATTTATTAAATGAATCCGAAGATCCTAGTTTGGACACTAAACCAAAATTCCTCCCCTCACCTCCATTTTTTTTAAAGGGTATTAGTGAGACAATTGGAAAAATTTGAATCAGGTCAATAGATTAAATGCTATCACTAAATCAATGCTCCATTCTTGATTTTAATAATTGTACTATATGTATTATAAAGTTACATGTATTTAAGTAATACCCTGGAGTAGTTAGGATTAAAAGAAGCAGTGTATTTACTACTTTTCTTTTTTTAATATTTATTTATTTGTACATACAGAACTGGGGTACAGGCCAGAGACTCAGGGGTGGCGAAAGACTTCACCAAAGACAGAGTGGGGAGCCCAACAGGCAGATCGACGAAGTACTCTGCTGAGCGGAGCAGTGGGTGGGTCAGGAGAGGTCTGCCACGCCATGTGGTCACCTCCGGGGCAGGCGGGAATCGAACTCATGCGAAAGTGGTTTCAGCTTCTTAGTGCAGTGCTTTAAACCACTACGCCACCAGGGGAGGGCCGTATTTACTACTTTTAAATGAATAAAAAAACAAAAAACAAAAAACCATAATATGTAGAATGAGTAAATAGGAATAATACAAAAGGTGAATAGAATAAGTAAATGTTAAAATTTGAGGAATATAGATAAAGATTATATGGCAATTTTTTAAATTATCTTTGCAACTTTTCTAAGTCTGAAATTATCTTAAGGTCAGGAGATAGTAAATGAGGCTTGTCACTAATGAATGGATTTTCCTTTTTTGCTTGTATCAGTAAGTATATTGTCACATATCATTTTGCAGGATAATGACTTGCAGAAAAACATTAATTAAAAAGTGTAGCAAGGCCCTCCCTGGTGGTACAGCGGGTTAAAGCACAGCACTAAGAAGCTTAAACCACTTCCGCATGAGTTTGATTCCTGCCAGCCCTGGAGGAGGTGGCCCACATGGCGCGGCAGACCTCTCCTGACTTGCCTACTGCTCCCCACTTTGTCTCTGGTGAAGCATCTCACCACCCCTGTACCTTTAGCCTGTACTCCAGTTCTGTGTGCATAAATAATAAATAAATCTTAAAAAAAAAAGTATAGCAAATGAAAACCAGTGTTAGAGGACAAGCAGAGCACTATTAAATGAGTGGATAAGTGCTTTTTTTACTGGTTTTGTAAAATAACTCCTCCTAGTCTTCATTATAATTTAGTATTAAGATTCATCAATTCTAAAATCAGATATTTTTGAAATTTTCTACTTGGTTTTTACATGTAGCTTTAAATTATTTTTCATGTCTAAATAATAGATTTTTGAATTAGATTAAAATCCCTCTCTGGGCTAGTTTCCTTACCCATAAATTGAGGTGTTTGGGCTAGGTTAAATTTTAAGTTTTCCAGTTTTAAAATCCTATGAATTTAGAACCAAAGAGAAAATGAAAGTTAGTTTCTCCATTTGAGTTAAAAGCTGTTTTTAATCACAACAAGCATTCCAAGTGATAGTGTCATATTTATTAAGTTCACAGATTTTTTGTGTCAAAGCTTTTGCCGAGCTTTTAATTTTTTTTTAAAGATTTATTTATTTATGCATACAAAGCCTAGGGTACAGGCAAGAGGTGCAGGTGCTGTGAGAGAATTCACCAGAGACAGAGTGGGGAGCTGAACAGGCAGATCAACGAAGTACACTGACTGCTGAGGGGAGCAGGGGTCAGGTCAGGAAAGTCTGCTGCGCCATCTGGGTCACCTCCGGGGTGGGGAATCAAACTCATGCTGAAGTGGCTTTAGCTTCTCAGTGCTGTGCTTTAACCTGCTATGCCAACAGGGAGGGCCCGAATTGAGCTTTTAATTAATAGTACATTTCATTTCTTGTCATTTGTTGTTGTTGTTGTTCTAACAAGTGTTTTTCTTATTTAGTATGGGTTAAAAGTATATTTAAAAGGGTTTCTCAATGAAAACTTGGTGTTAAAACTCAAGATTGATAGTAAAAGTTGAGTCACAAGAGAGACTCTTTGCACTGTCAAGATACAAAGTAACTGATGGTATGAAAGCTCAATATATGTCCAGCATAACATATTTTGGGGTTATTTTTAACTAAAGCAAAACTTAATTAATGCTTTTATTCCCTTTCCCCCTCCCAGCTTGGTGATCCAACAGCTATTTTTCCTGCTGTCATTGTGGAACATGTTCCTGGTGCTGATATTCTCAATAGCTATGCTGGGCTTGCCTGTGTTGAAGAGCCCAGTGACATGATCACTGAGAACTCCCTGGATGTTGCAGAAGAAGAAATCATAGAGGATGATGATGACGACATAACGCTTACAGGTATGAGCCTCCTGCTGCAGCTTTAAGCATTGTTCCTCCATGGGATTTTTGGAGAATATCAAAAACCCCTAACTTTTCCTGCAGAAAGTAGAGTCCCAGAAGGAGAAGTTGCATCTTCTTTCTGTCTGCCTGTGTTTCATAGTGCTTTCTCATCTTCCCTTTCTTCTTTCCTAAATATATTGAGATAAGTATGAAATAATTTTATTTTAAAATTAGTAAAGCCAACTCAATTCATGAAGTCTTCACTTAGCACTTTTTATATGCCTAACTTTACATACCTGATAACAATGGGAAGTTGTTTATAGGGAAAAGGAGAGGAATGTTCTTGTTTGCTTGTTTTTTTATTGCTGCCACAGGAAGCAAAATAGAAAACAGACCATCATAGAAATGTGGATGTTGTTCTGGTGTTTAAAGAGGACTTAGGAGCTTCTGGTTTAGTCAGAACTAATAGACTCCTTCAAACTTGAAGAATTTGCTTTGTAAATGTGAGGGATAATGTTATTTTTGCCAGTTTTGGAAATCGGTGCTGCATTTATATTTTATATTCATATATCTAAGGCCATATTTGGAGGTGTTTGAGAAAATTATTTGGAAGCAAAGGTTACTTGATTGTTCTTAAGTTAAAAAGATTACAAAATTAGGCCCTCCCTGGTAGCGCAGTTTAAAGCGCAGCACTAGGAAGCTGGCCTCAAACACTGCAGCATGAGTTCTGTCTGGCCAGGGGAGTGACCCATATGGCATAGCAGACCTCTTCTGACCCCGCCCGCTGCTCCCCTCAGCAGTGTCTTCCTCGATCTGCCTATTCTGCTCCTCACTCTGTCTCTGGTGAATACTCTCACTGCCCCTGTACCTCTGACCTATACCCCAGTTTTCTATATAAATGAATAAATCTTTTTTCAAAAATGCAATACTTTAAAAAAAAACACAAGAATAGAAAATTAACAGTTGTTACAATGTTATTAACTAATCCATCATCTGACTGGTAGTTGTTCTCTCTTTTATTCACAGCATCTTAAAAAGGTTTTGTTTGATTTGTAAAATGTGAAGTTTTTATTAAAAAGTTTTATTCAAGTAAAAAATAGGCAATTACTTAAGTCATATTCAGTACAGAATTTATCTTTTGATAAAACTATGCATTAACTCCATGTATCAAATATTGTATCTTGATCAAGAGATCAGAATATATGTTTCAGAGTAACAATTACCTAACAGTTACTTTTATTTTTTTCTTTAAATTTATTATAGTTGAAGCTTCCTGTCAAGATGGGGATGAAACAATTGAAACTATTGAAGCTGCTGAGGCACTGCTCAATATGGATTCTCCTGACCCTATGCTGGATGAAAAACGATTAAGTGAGTGGTTGTATGTTCAGATTGTTATGTTTTTATTAGTCAAAGCTATTCTTGACATCTGTATTAAATATCAGATCAGAGATCTTGATTTACATCTTTTGTGCCTGGCATATTTTAAGGTATAGTATTAGTTGAGGCACCTTTGCTAATTTATTTAAAGAGGACTTTTTTTTTTTTTT